ATTTCCTGTAGATTTCAGAAGCTGTGGACTAATAAGTCAATGAAGCTGTCAATGAAAAGCTGAATTACTTTACCTCCAAAACTTTCACAGCAAATCTGAATTTTAAAAATTATATATTTTGTGTATATGTATATATAAACATACACACATACGTATATAAAATGTGTGTGTGTGTGTATGCATGCGTGTATAAAGTAATACAAATTCCAGCTACTCTTGCCTCAATAATGCTTCTCTATGCTTTCATGAAGTTTGGCTTCCACTCAGAACAAAACAAATTCCAATGAAGACATGTCACCACGCAGGAAGAACTTTTGTGCAATAGACTAAAATGCAAATAGTTAAAATACAAGAATGAAACAAAGATATTCCTTGTAAGTACCGCTTCAAAGAGGAGAAGCTGCAAGAAGTAGAAACATACTGTAACCAGGAAAGGCTGGGAGTCCAAATCTCCTCTCTGGCAAAACCGTATTTTAACGAACAATTATTGGGTAAAGTTATGAGCTGAAATCTAATGCTAATGAGGTGATTTTAGCTTTATATAATAATGCATTTACGTCCAATTGGGAATGCAAAACCCAAGGAAGAAGACTGACTCACTGATTCAACAGTAAATTCTCAGAGAAGAAGCAAAAATGAGTCGAGTCTATAGGAATAAAACACAGAGTGGTATGGAGCTTTCTCTCTTGGCCTCAAGAGAAAAACAGGCTGTTAGAAAAAATTAAGGATACTTAAAATGCCAGAAAATGGCTCACCTAGAAGCAATGCCCAATACTGAATGTTTTGGTACAGGCACAGAAGGGTAGGTTAAACAATATTAACATGTAATGATCAATTTTGTAAGTCAATCTGAGTGAATTTCACATAAGCACCACAGCTACATGCATCACTAAGCCTCAGCCTGGTTTTACATGGGGAGAATTACAAAAGCAGAACAACATGCAAAAGAGACATCTTCATGATCAAAGACTGGCATATAAATGCTTGGAGTAGACTAAAATGTAAAGGTCCACAGGCACAAGCTCAGGAGTCTCAACCTCACTTCACAGGTTAGAGGAAAGTGGGATAGAAAGCAGCAGGGGAGATTGTACTGCTCTCCTAGTGTAACTATGATCCATGATTACATATAATTCAGCAGCACAAAAATAAACGTCCAGTCTTAATACAGATGATGTTCATTTCATCAGGATGTTAAGTAAAAGTTAGTACTATACTCACCACTAGCACCACATATTCCAGAATATCACAGCTCAGTGTTACCTCATGCTTCTGCTGAAGCAACCATGCAACTTGCAGATGCTTCCACCCAAAATACAATATAGATTGATACTTTCCCATGACTTGCTTTGAGCACTGGTGATTCATCAAGTGTATGGAAAATTAACGATATATTTAAATTTCACTCACTACTGAACACTGTAATGATTTCTTTCCAGTCTAAAATGAACACTATACCGGCAGCCTGAAAGACATTTACAAAAGTACATAATTCTGTAAAGAATATAATTCTAACTCTAGAATTAACATTGAAAATCACTCCCTCTCATTTACTTAGCGGTACCAGTTCCTTCATCTGTATCTGTGTACTTAAGCCATTGTACCAGTGCTTACCTGCATTTCTAAGAACTGACTGCCCGTCTTTAATTAACATACAGAACCTCTGCCTTATCTGTACTAAAAACCGTGATTCAATGGCAGTGTAAGTCATACATTAGTTTTGCTAACAAAAGGGAAGATTCACCCCAGAACCCTTTCCCAGCAACATCTTTGATCTTTTCATCAGTCACAGGCCCTTTCTGTCTGCTCTCTCCTTTTCTGTCCCTCTAAGGCTTCGGAGCCCGAACCAAGCACTGGGAATTTGCAAGATCCATGGACTATTTGAAGGGAATGCCACTTCACACCTATCAGTTACTGCTGCCATGCCTCCAGGGAGCTCTCTCCTTTCTCACTTCTCCCTCGTTAGTCCTTCTGCCTTTGGTTTTCCTATAGCCAGCTGCCTTTTGCACTAGAATCCCATCATCTAAGAGGGGGGTGGTGTTAAAAAGAGGCTGATCAGCTGGATTTGACCAAGATTCAACTTGCTCTGGAACTGCAGAATGCAATGCCCTTCCCTTCACGTCTCAAAATGCAAAGTTTTTTCAAGGAAACCTAGATTCAAGCTGTGGACTTTACAACACCAAAAGTCACACTAGAAGTATAGACTAGAGCAGGCAAAAGCCATATTCATAACTGCCAGAAAAAAAGTTATTTGCATAAGCAATCAAGAGGAAAGCGTCAAAAAGATATCATTAACTATCCTCTTCTTGATACCAATCTGAAAATGCTCAAAAATAAGCTGCTAAGCAGCAGCAGTGATTGGGCTGAAGGTATTGGAAAGGATAAAGAAACGTGAATCATTCACTTAGCAGTTATCCCACATTGGTACAAAAAACTTCGGAAATAGATGTTATTGCTCAAGGCATTTTTATTATTTTCAAGTCAGAAGGTGTTTGACGAGCATGTGGAAAATGTGATGAACTTCTCTAGTTTTACCACAGATATCAAAATCAAATCTTTAAGAAAGTAACTTAGACAATACAGATGAAGTTCCCCTATGATTCAATACTTTGGTGACAAGAGTAGTCGATGAAACAGTTACAAAAAGCATTACAGTTTTAAGTGTGGGACTTGAGAAAGCATTATGGTTACATTCTGTTATTCCCTTGGTAGAGGAGGAGTCAAACACAGGCTTCTTTTCACAAGCAAAATGATGCCCTGAGATATTGGCAAAGTTGCTTGTGTATCCGTTAATGAAAAATAACATCTGTTCTTCTTTCAGGAAAAAAAGTGACAGAAAAGGAAAAGAAATTATCAGCTGAAGAACACAGAATGATTTTTGAACTACAAAGCTGTCGTTCCTTGGACTGCACATCCACACGCTTTCAATATAGGCTCAATACAGCTTTTTGCAAAACTGGAATAATATCCAGAACGCCTGCAGGAATTACCACCACCGTTTGGCATTAACTAGTGTTTTAAAACTTTGTGTGCTACAATAGGAGAAATGAATACAAGAAGTTCTACACAAATATACAAAATAAAAAGAAATACGCACGGCAAAATGAAAGACAAAGCCTTTGCAGAAGCACACATTTGAACTGTCAATACCTGAACGCTTGGCAATGAAATCATTAACAAGAAGTTGCTTTCACACTGCGCATGCCAAATTCAATATTGAATATCTCGACAACTCCTCAAGAAATTAAACTAATAGCAATTTAATATGACTTGTAAAACCAACTGTAAGTCACAAAAGGTAATAAAAATGATGTTTGTCTTGATGCTGAAACACAACTTATGTTTTATAACAATAAAGACTTTGGGTTAAGTCCAATTGTAACCAGTTATCAGAAACGAGAGTGACAACTATCGAATACCTTTATGATAAGCAGCTGTAACAAGTTGGACAGCATCTACTCATAAGGATACTTATTTTTTTTAATGCCATTTTGTGAAAGCTCTGAAGCTGTGGATTATCCACGTGGAAAACACTGACTCGCTGTAACCTTATTCTTCCATAGGACTGTGCTTCATTTCACTAAAACGTCTCTGGGAAAGATCTCCAGCTACACAATGAGTTTTTCTGGGGAAAAACTCAAGAGACCTACACACGCGAGAAAGCCAACAGCCTACTAACTAGTGTGCCAGTCCAAGCCACAGATGCATACAGGAGTGCTTTAACAACTGAGCTAGAGTTAGTCCTACAACACCACATTTAATTTATAAAAAGTGAAGCAACAGCAGGAGGAAAGATCTAAAGTCATAATCTATAGCCCAAAAATAAGGGACAGAATGGGTCAGACTCCTGCTCCTTTTATTTCTAACAAGCAGAAATGCTTTTATACTAGACGTTAAGAGGCTCTCTGCAGAATCAAACAGTCTAATGTCTAATGATTAAGGACCTTGGTACAGGATTCTTAATGTTTAGCTTTTTGTTGAATATCCATTTTCATTTTTTTATCAAATCAATTCAAGATAATTAAAGTTTGTCCCACTAAAGACCTGGAAACAAAGGGCCCAAACCCTCAAAAAGCATGAAAGGAGAAAAAAAATCCATCCCCGCTTCACATCCATGAGGAATATTTTGAAAACCCTGTCACTGATACGGGTCAAATAACTTTTTTCATGATACTTAATCACATATTGCAAACTCCAAAGCCAAAGTCAGCAACAGAATGAGATTAGGTATTATCAGATGCCGAATCTCAATTCATATAGCTGTAAAAGAACTTGCATTTTTCTTTCTACCAGCTCTGCAAAGTTACAGTATGTTCCTATTAAAGCTTAAGGAAGGAAGAACCAAGATGACTGTTTCCCACCTTAACGGTTTCAGCACAAAGCAAAGGAAAAAAATTTAGTGGAGATAGTCAATGGCACTGTAATCTTGCTTAAAGCTACCTACATAAAGGCATATGGCATAAGGATACAAGGAGTCGAAAAGGAATTGATTTAGATCCCTCATTCTTTTGGGCAGACCAAAAGGACCTCAGACACTGCCTTTATGGAAGAAAAATCTCAATATTGCACGCCCAGTTCTGTAAATCTTTCCAAAAGCTGCTAGCCTACAGTCTCTCAGCCCGGATACGGAAAACTCCAGGTATGTAAGATATTAATCCTTCCGAACCTTCTGAATGTCTGTTCGGTCTTTTACCCTTCATGTTCTTTTCCACTGACGAAAGAAAGCGCATTTCTCACATGAAATAAATGTAAGAAGAAAGTATAAACTTAGAATCTTATTACAACTTTAGTTTTTCCTCATTTAAGAAATCAGAACCTAAAACTGAAGGATAACAGAAACATCTGTTCAGTTCTGAAGTTATAAATATATGAAATATTTCAAGCAATAGCAAAACAGTCAAGAAAAGCAAAATGTCAAGTTTGCACAGGCTATGGCTTCAACTTTTCTTTGGATTTTTATCTCCTTACTGATACCGAGAGATGCCAATAAACGTTTGGCATACCTGCTCCAACTTCTTTTTCTTCTTCTTCAATGTTGTTTTTGATACTGTCATACTCCTCATCAATTGCCTGGTTACCACGCATCTGAGAGAGAATTCTCCGCGCTCTCTGAGTCTGGCCCTTCTGAATGAGCCAACGGGGGCTTTCAGGAAGAAACAGGAAGCCAAGAAACTGTATAACTGCCGGAACAGCTGAGAGGCCCAGCATGTACCTAAAAATAAATAAATAAAGAAATGTCTAATATTTACCTACAAAAACATACTACAAACAAGTCATGTACGACTGCTCAAGCTTTAGTTTACAAATCAAAATGCATAACATGCTCAGTCAAAAGGTTGAATGTATATATTAGGAAGAGTGTTTCCGAGACCTTTTCCTAGCAGCGTCAAAAAGAACTTCTGTTAGTGAAGCAAAACGTCCTTAACAAAGTTAACTAGGAGAAAACATGAACCTGGTTGCCCATTATCCTCCACTCCTCTTACTCTTTATGATTAGAAATTAAGCAGGCAAGAATTGTATTCTTTAAGTATTTAGAAAACAGAATTCTCACTTCTAATTCCAGTACACAGCAAGGATTATGTTGAATAGTCTTCTCTCACTGACTCTACAGCCATTGCTCTGGAAAACACCAACTCAGGCTAAATAAAGCTCTGAAACAGTCCATTAATTCAGGAACTGAACTAATCCCTTTCAGCAGATATAAGAAAGGAAAGAAAAGAAAAAGAAATCAAAGGCAAACATATGGTACTGCTCATGATATAGAAGTGAGATTGAAAAAAAAGAAAAAAAGCCAAAACAGCCATCAAAATGCTTAATTTGATCAGTAAATATGTATTCATAGAATCATACGACCAAGGAATACGCCCCTTTGTAAGGAGATGCCTGTTTTACTTTTGAAACATTCTAACTGTAATCAGATAGCCCACTCTTAAATTTTCAGCCAGCTGCAAAATCATGGTTTAAGTCAAAACAGTATTTGAGATGCCTGGGGTATTTTACTGTATACAACACTAAAGCTAATTCTTTACAACATCGAGAACTCTCTCTGCCAGGGGAGTCACATTTCCAGTGGTCAGTACTGATACCTTTGAGATCACCCACACTTACTGTGATTCGCTCTAACTAAAGCGAAGAGAAAAGATTGTAGACGACAAAAACATACTGAAAGTGAGTTTCAAGGGTGGTTCTGATCTACACACTTCATATTTTTATATTCCTTCAACAAAACACATACATACAATATGGATAACATTTTCACAAGCAAGCTCGAATTCTTTCAAATTCTTTCCAATGCTTGCAGCTCAGAGGAACCAGCATTGCAGAACAGAGTACGTGTACAGAACAGCATCATATCTCACTGTCAGACACCTATGGCAGGTAAACTTCTCCTAAACTGAACAGACATGTATGACAGTATTTCAAGCTTCCAACAGTTCTTTACTTCTGCTGAACTAATTTTACAGAATTATACTTGTCCATAATTAAATATATTACACAAAATTTTGCTCAAAGTATCCAGGCAAGTCAGAGTTCACGTATTTTAAATCATTTTAGTCATTGTCCTTTTTCTGCAATAACGCAACACATTTAAGACTTTTCACTTAAGTCTCTAAAAGAGTTCTAACTTTGTCTCAAATGTTACCTAAAGAAAGTTGATCAAATCCATAAAGAGTAAGAAGCGTTTAGAATTTCCAGTTATAAATTATTAGCTCAGCATTCATGAGTTACTCAAAGGAGAATTACAAAAATTATTGAACGATCTATAATTTTGTTCTGCTTTTTAAATATGATCTTTTCCTTACATATGATACATCATTTGCCCTTGACTGGGATTTTTTAGTTTCCATTAAGACTTCAAATGATTGCTGGTGCCACCTGTACGTTACTGCAACCAAACGGGTTTCAAATCAGTGGTTATAATCATTAAATCACCTCCAGAAACAAGCCCTCGCACTGCATATTGAGGTACACCATACTCAAATGGGTTTACACCTTGAAATCAGTCAGGGGATCAGGGGGATTAATAACAGTCTGCTCTCTAGCTCTTCTCTTCATACTTCAAGATGCATGTTTTCACACAGAGGATTCTTAAGTCTCTCACACAGATGTTTTTATAAAACATACTACAAAATGAGATTGATAACAGAATAGGAAAGACAGCACAACCTTTAAAGGAAATCTGGTTTTAGGGCTGTGAGCCAAATGTATTTGAGAAGTCCAAATGCCCTCTGAACGCAAATGGGAAAAAGTCTTTTTTAGAGTATCATTTGTAGATTTAACAGAGGAAGATAGGAGCAACACAACAGGGCAGAAAATTGAGAATGGTAAAAAGAACACCCAAACGGTAATGAAAAAAGTCTGGCTCTTCCTGGACAACATGCACGCAGGCCAGTCCTTCCATCACCAAGCTGAGTCCTCAAGTTCTTGCTGAAAATGGTTAAAATTTCCAAAGGCTGTACAAGTAATCATCTTGATGCAGAGAAAAAGCTGAGAAAGTGTTTCATTTTCTAACGATCTAAGAATGGTATAGCTCATCCTTATTTATAAAATGAAGAACAGAAGGAAGAAAAAAATTCAAAACAGTAAGCTTGTGGAAGCAACATTAGGTATCTTGGTTGAAGACTGCTCAGCTAACAAGTGTCACTAACTCACTAATGTTCCCATTTCTCACTCACTAATGTTCTTATTCACTATTATTCTCATTTCTCCCTATGATCTTTCTCCTCCACAGTTTTCAGGTAGCCATACACAGAATCACCTTTACATATACATCATTGACGTTCACCAAACGTTGTATTTAGCATTTGCAGTTGGGTGGTATTTAGAAAGCCTTTTCTATTTTAACTGAACAGTAGACCAAAACCATAAAAATTAAAAGCACAGCTGCTGCATTTTGTCAAACTGCAAGCAGAAGGATCTTCTAGTACATCCTACTAAACAGATTTAGTCCTTTACACTCATATTACACAGTTTCTGCTCCTCCAGAAACTTAAAGTCTTTCAGTCCCCTGAATGAAGCAGCGACCTCCAGAACCTAAGCAGCTGAGTATATGCATTCACCCTAGGAGACAAAATCACTTGAGACTCCTGAAAGCTAGACCCAGCCTGTCAAGGTTACCAGTTGGACTCTGTTGGATTGTTTACTGGGCACAAGATAAAAAAAGAAATCCACAGAAAGTACTCAGTCACTAAAATCAGTTTCCAATTGACACGCTTCTGGTCAAAGTGAAGTATAAGGTGCAGGCCAGAAGGAAAATGCTCAGTTAAGAGCATAAATCCATCACAAGTTCAAGAGTTGTTGCTATTTTCAGATAAAGCAACTTCATGTACTCCCTTTAAAGTAAAGCAGGCAACTGAGCATAGCATGCAGTAAGCCAGGTTTCAGAAATCTAATACAGTTCTTCCCTGTATAGAGTTTCCATTTGAAGCTAGATGTCTAACAGACCTGAAAAGAATCTAGCATGAAATTTAGCAAGTCTGCTGTAACTTTCCTCCTCTCAGACACACCACTACAATACAATTAAGACAGCATTAGCAGGGTTTATAATGCTATCCTGACATAACAGTCAGGTTAAATATTTGTTTTCCTTTGTATATTTTTAATTTAATATCCAGCATTTTGAAGAACAAGCAGAGACAAGCAAAAGTAAGACTCCTTACTGTTTCTGCAGCACTGCAATATATAAACATTCAATCACTAAGAGCTACAATAACTGCCATAGTTTTCTTTCTTATATGTGATGACTCAGGAGTGAACATCTGTGATTTCTCCTCTTTTGTGCAATGGCCACTCTTTC